AGCTTATATACTCCTGATCTATCCGACATCGAAATTTTGTCTTTATTGTTTTCAATAAATTTACTTGTCTATTATTGGTTCTGTAATTTACGTTCACTCATTTTTTCTTCAAAAAACGGGCAATATTATTGGTGGTTTGTTTGAAGGTGAATTATTGGTGGGTTCAACCAAATATGACAATGTCCTACAACTGACGTTATCGCCTCTTGAATTTGGGTAGACCTGGTCCATGGCTTGGTTTTGTAGTTTTTTGGGAAGAATGTGGTGTAATATCTACCTTGTTGTTGACCGCGATTTGTTTGATCAAATTCGGCTCTCTCAGACAGTGGAATATTCGATAGTCTGTGAAGCATACTGTTGAATGCAGCAACTTTATGCTGGTAAGGGTGTGAGGAGGAATTATGTATGATAATGTCCATGTACGATAGTTTGTTGAAAATTTCAAATTCATGTTTATTGTTATTTTTTGTAATGGTTAAGTCAAGGTAATTTATTGAATTATTTACCTCCCTTTCAGTGGTGAATTTTATTGACGAGTGGATGGAATTGACATATTCAACAAACTTGCCTAATTGCCTATCGGTACCAGTAAAACAGACTTAGATATTATCTACTTATCTGTACCAGTACAAGAAACTGTATGTTATCCATGAAAATTTCAAACAGCAATGAACTCAAAGGGTTACCTACCCATTATTAGTCCTTCACTGCATGAATAAAATTTTTCGTCAAACTAGAAATAATTTTGAGATAGACAAATAGTAAGTAAATCTTAAATTTCCTGTTTTTTTAGTGGATTCACGTGAAGATCAAGCTGATCTTTCTCTTGAAGATGATCACTTGGTGATCGGAACACGTGTTGAGGTATTAAAAATAACGGTTTGGTGTTGGAAAAAATTCAGTACTATTCTCCATGAATGACTAACCAAACATTTGAATATATTTTGTGTAGCTGTTGCTCGCAACTTCCATCGCGTGGAGTTCAGTTTATAGGTTTTTCTGGATTTTTCAAATGAAATGTTTTTTTTTCATGAATTATCTATCAATATTTGTTTCATAGGAAAATCGTTATACAAACTTTAAATATAGGTAAACAGTTTCAGTCAAATCAACTGGGAGTATTTTTTGGAAATTTTTCCAACAAATTTTTGACGTGATTTTTGAAAGCATTCAGTTATGAATTCTTTGAAATAAAACAAACAAGAGATTTGAATGTAACTTGTCACAATATATTAGTGAAAACCGCACCCAAATAGGTTGAACCTTGTTTGAGATTCACGCGCACAGACAAAGAAGTAAACAGATAGCGATCAGTTGTATATATTGACAATAAAGGTCTTTTTTCTGAATGTGAAGACCAATTCCATATTCCCAAACCTTTTTTTGAGCATCAGAGGGCATGAGTTTGATCACGGTTTTTGAATACTTATATTAGGTCAAAAGTGAGTGAGTCTATTTGACCCTCCACCGCATCCCGCAAAGTTTTATTGTGGCTCACACCTCACACCTCTTTTTGAATGGTTAGCAATTACTAAGAATTCAATTATCAAATCAATTTGATGATGAAATCGATGTAGGTAAATTTTAATCAAGGTAATTTAAAGTCTCTGGTTTTTTCTGTTTTCATTTAATGTCGAATTTATTATGTAGTTGGTAATGATTCAAATTATTATAATATGTAAGAAGCTCGATGTAGATAGGCATTATGTTTGCATTAAACCCACCTGGAAAAGCTATTGTTGAAGACGTGATGTGGTTTTGTAAACTATTAGGTGAAAAACTCAAAACAAAATGTTGTTTGAATACGTGAGAATTTATCATTTGAAAAAAATTAAAATGGCTTCTTTTAGAAATAGCCTCAGAAGACCATTAGAATGATATATGTCGCTTGGCTCCACTTTCTATTTCTTCCAAGTCGCCGGAAAACACTGCAGCATTGTGCCATGTACTAGTTTGTACATGTTACTTGCTGGAAGTATGTCATATTATTGAGCACATAATTTGGATTCTCCATAAGTTGTTTTTCTCCAGTTATCCATTGCTTTACATTCGCGTGAAATATGACGAGCTGTTCATGTCCCTTTGTTGCACCATCTGCATCTAGGTCCTGGTTGTACATCCCTTTTTTGTTCAGATGTTCTCCCAATATACAGTGTGCTGTGCCGATTCCTGCTTTGTTGGAGCAGTTTTTCAGTTTCATGTCGGACGGTACCGGTAAATTTCCGATGTGTTTTTCCGAGTATATTTTTTCAGCACTCTTTATATTTCTTATAGGCCTTCTTCCTTATCTGATTCCATACCAAATACTTCGGTACCCCCACATCTCGTTCATGACCTTTGAAATGATATATGTCACTTGGCCCCCCTTTTCATAGATTGTGAGAGTGGAGTTGAAAATATTATGTTTTTGAATCTACTTCTTGAAAATAAAACTGACATCTATTCGATTTCTCATATTATTTTCTGTGAGAAAGATATATGTATACATATATGATTTGGAATTGTACACACATAGTTGGTAATATTTACTGGAAACCTCAAAATTTACCCAAATTGCCAAATAAAAATTTTAATTGGGTTATAACATATGAAACAGTAACATGATTGCTTTGTATCATAAAATTATTCATTTAATTTTCAAAATTAATTGTTACTCGCAATACTAAGAAAGTAATAGGAGTTTAAACAACTTTTTACAAACAAAGAAAGTTTATAATATTCGTCAGTAGCCTGTATAGCATTCACATAAAGCCAAAAGTTTGATGAACTTGTCATTGAGGTGAAATGAAATGAGTGAAGCATGAGTTTTGTTTATGAATTTCGCGATTTTTTTTTATTTCATTTGCAAAGTACCTGGACTCGATTGATTTCAACGCGGCTCCGCTGCATATATGAAACCTTCATCTGAGAGAAAGAATTATTTTCTTGTACGTATGTATCTCTCCCCGATTCAGTCTTCAGGCACGGTTTAATATCTGTTAATGTTTTGGTACATGGAATGTTTCTTCTCCGCTTGGGGCTTTTACTTACGAGATGAAGCCATAACTAGTTAATACTTTTTCTCTTAGGGTAGGATCTTTCCTGCACTGACGAACGGTAATACTTCAAAACCGGACTGTGTGCGATTTACCCAAATAATTTCAGGATGGTCCTGCTGCGGGATGAACGCAAAACATCTGCGAGATTAACCTCTGTGAGATATCTTGCATAAATGTCTGTCGGATATAATTCAATATCCGGCGTGGTATTAGCCGGGGAGTAGTTGTTATTCGGTAGGTATTCACTAGAACCTACTGTGTAAGCAGTTGGGAGAGATGAATATTTCGAGATTTCGTTTCGAAATATCTTTTTCCTTATACGTATATATCTCTCCTCGATACAGTCTTCAGACACGTTTTGATCTCAATACATTATGACTATTTTGGAGCTTGAATTTCAAAAGTACAGAGGATGTTCAAATTCAAATTTTCACTGATTTTAGTGAATGAAATTTAAAATTTTTCATTCTGCTCGTGGTTACTTTTTTTAATTCAGCCAAATACTTGCAATAACTATCCACTATACAAAAACAATGAACAAACATTGTAACCACCAACCAAAACTGCAACACTCTTTTCGAAGCACGTTTCACCAACCAACTTGACGTTTTCAGAAGATGTACCATTGCAGTTTTGTGTATGGAAGCAGTATTTGTTTCGGATTTATTATACTCCATAGGTTCCATTCGTACCCTTCAATGTTAAAATACGTTTCAAACTCAGGAAATTTGAATATCAATTCGAAAGAGGTTCAGGTTCAGGAAAAAGGTTCAAACTGTGTATGTCATTTATTATTTTGTCTGTGTTTATTATTGACAATTTACTAAATGCAGAATTTTCAAAATTTCGATTTTTCATAATGTTCTGGATTTTTATATATGGTAGACGAGTGAAATAGGGATTCAAACATATGTGAATATTTTGTGTTTCGATAAATAACTTGACTTGAGGGGAGATCAGGCGGTATAAGATAGCTGCTGAAGATATACTTCTGACGATTCATTTGTCAAAACTATTACTAACCTACGCTTTTTTTTTAATTCAACTTTGAGCTATATTTTAATATGAAATTATTTTTGACTAGAAATTAGAAATTTGACTAGACATTAATTGAGAATTATTCATACAATTGTATCTCGAAACAATTTATATATTAGTGAAAACCGCACCCAAATAGGTTGAACCTTGTTTGAGATTCACGCGCACAGACAAAGAAGTAAACAGATAGCGATCAGTTGTATATATAATTTCTAGCGCCATTTCCTTGCAAATGAGAAACTTTATAGTGGAATTTTTGAATAGTGTTTGCATAAAATGTATGTGATTTTGAGAACTTACAGTTTTTTTGCAACTACCACAAATATTCTTGTGGCAATATTTCGAAATATTATGAAGTACACTTTGACAACATGTGCATAACTTTTCATGCTGTATAATTAAAGTTAGATGAAATCTATTTCGTTTATGCCAATGATTGATGTTGAATATAATTACCAACTTCATTTACAATGAGAGGAAAATATATTTTTAGAGAAACTCAATATTTTAGAATTCTCCCTAAAGGCATCCACTAGTACTTATCATTTTCAACTATCCATTTTGGAATCTATACAGAAAGCAATGATTTCGTTTCATTTCCAAATAATTGAGTGGAATATTCAATTCAGTTTTGAAATAACTAGTTGCAAAATGAAACGTAGAATCGACTCACCACCATAATAGAATTCAAGTTACAGAGGAATCAGCCAATTTTATCAATTCTTAGAATCTGTTTCTATGAAAACTCACATTATCAGTGAACGTTTCATTCATACTTAAGAGAGGATTTGTTTTTGAACTTTTCATCACATAAAAAAATGAACCAGCGTGCATGTAATGAATCTGTTGAAAATTAACACTTACCTGGTTGCAGAAATGTACATTAAAGTAAAATGACCTGAAGATACCAATAATATAACTTACAATGAGAGATGAGTGATGTGGATGAAGAGTGCTAAAAGGGTGTGTACTCTCATTTCATTAAATACAAACACTAAAATAAATGAAAAACTTGTTACTGTGAAAGTTAACACAAAATTAGGTGAAATTTAATTCACCGAAAAACAGTAGGTCCAAATGAAACATAAGTTTACTAGTAGTCTGACACCAACATTCACAAAGATCACCACCCGGTCCGGGACAGTTTTGAAGGTACAGTGGCTAGCATGAAGCTGTGCTGGTGTTAACTCCTAGCATCTGAGGCTGCGACGCGCGGTGTTGCCAACTCAATAAAGTTGTTTTGCACGATCGAAAAGCGCGAAACATAAATTCATAGAAAATAATACTCGAATCATAACCTTAAAAAAGTGCTCTCTGTTTCTGAAATTTCCACGAAAAACAGTTCAATGAAAGAATTAATGAAAACAAATGAAAAAAACAAATAAAAGAAGATCATGTTGCAAAGGCTATCACGGCCGATGTCTATCAAATTATTTGATGTTTTCGGGCTCATTAGTTGTGGTCTGCAGGTTTATAGACCTGATGTTTCGTCTACAACTGTGGCAGACATTGAAGATATTGCCACATCGATTTTTTTTCCCAAAAACCTGATGATGACGTCTAATAACCTGCCGATTTGAATGATATTCATTTGATCAATCTATTTGTGTCAATTTTCTACAAAAAAGTGGAATGGTTTAAGAAAAATATACAGTATAGATCGATCGATAACTGGTAGATGAAACATAAAAAGACAGAAGTTCGTTTGAACCGCGTGATTCATAAGAAATTTAACACTGAAAGGTAGTTCACATGAGGCAGTTTGAGGTGAAACTGATCTGCAAAGAGGCAGGGTGTGAAAGACGCAAAAATCCGCATGAACGAGAAAGCGCAACAAATGTACGAAAATATTGAAAATACGCAGACTTGCGTATTTTGTGCTTTATTGGCAACACTGTACTGGTGTTAACTCGAAGCATCTGAGGATGCGACGCGGGGGGTTTCATATTGATCTGCTGTTTCTCTATTGCGCCGACGATCGAATGGAAGCTCTACTGTTTGTATTACTCGTAAAATTTGCTAGTCCTGGAAAATATGGAAACTCCTCCTTTCACGTGGAAAATCTGGGCCGATTTCATACCTGGCACGGCCCCGTAAACGTTTCTTGATCGTAGTCCACGAAAATATCTGCAGATGAAATACTTCAAACTAAAATATCCCACGTGTTTTTATTATGTTCTCGATGTTTCGCGATAAGGTCAATTTCATAACTTCATGATATATATCGCTTTCTGCAAAGCATTTTAGAACTGGTTAATATTTTATATTTAGGGTGACCCGCTAATAACAGTCCGGAAAAGTTTATGGATTTGTATCAATACGTATCTATCTATATGAACGCCATAAACTCAAAAAGTATGGAACAGATTTTTTTCATAAGGTTCTCATCAATAGATTGATTCAAGAGAAAGGCTTATCAGTGCGGACGTTAATAGTCTCCTCCTTTTCTCAACTCTTGAACGGAACAAGATATCAGGGTCAGAGAAAATTTACGTAAAGAGATGCTTTTTAATGAGGAAGACAAGAGTGTTGCATCACTCTTCGCCGAAATTGCGACGATGTTTCAATTGTCTATCCAACAATTTTTTGAAAACTTGGTCACTCTTCACTTTCTAACAATAATAAAGTTTATTTACGAATTCATTATGAAATATTTCTGGGGTAGTTTCGTTGGGACCACCTCTTAATCTAACCAAACGTCACAAAAATCTAAGGAGGTCTCAAGTAAAGCAGCGGGTCATATCCGTGATCAGCGGGTCCATGTTTTCCTATCCACTGGTTTGAATAATTGTCTCACGTTCAAACCAGCTCGTAATAAAGAGGCACAGGTAGACGGGCAAACATGATTCCTTAGAAGAGCCTACCAGATCACCTGATACACATCCGCAATTTATTTCAGAAGTCGTCGATACATTCCATAGTATAGGAAAACATTGGTAAACAGACTTCATTATTGTCATGATAAACATATTTTAAACTTGAATTGAAGGGGTTATATTTTTAGAAGTGATTAATTTTTAAACATTTTGAATATTTATTGGAAATAACTGGAGTGAGTTTTGGATATTTTTTTCTCGAATTTTCAAAACAAATATGAAACTGTTAATTACTCGGAAAAGACCAATTCGATTTACAACAATGAAAAAGTATTGTATAGAGATTGTCCACTGTCTTTTTTGTCAAAAAGTACTAAATGATAAGTTTTTACGTAAATTTTGTCCGATCTTGATATAGCCTTCCATTCAAAAGTGATTTTGATTAAGAAAGTTTGCAATTGTGTTTACGTAGTGATTCATTTCGAAGCTTAGTCGCATTTTTGTTTTGTGTTATCTCTGGGTGAATTCAACGATCTTGTTTCGGAAGTCCTTAGGAACAACTTCGATGTCGCTGTATTTTTGAAAATTGTTGATTTCTCATATTATTTCAAATCATACGCCTTCAAAATTGGGGACGGAATCTTCTATACTGATATAAATGTGAAAGTTTGGGACGATGGATGTATGTATATTTGTGGCTCTTTCCCGTCTAAACGACTGTACGGATTTAGATGGAACTTTACATAAATACAGCTTATACATCAGAATGACATATAGGCTACGATTTACAAAATTAAGTAAGTCGGAAAAATTCTTGCTCCATGAGAGCTATCTTGTTCTAAATAAAAGTCCGCGATAGCATATATCTACCTCTTATCTGGTAGCCAATACACGTTTTGCGAATTTCTTTATAGGTTATATAATTCGACTCTCGAAGCTATTCATTACTTAGTGCAGTTGACGAATTTTGCAGTTACTGTATTTCTGAAGTGAAAATATAAATTACTAGCTGTTGCCCGCTCTTATAATAACAACGTACAGCCAAAGCTACTGAACCTAGAATCTTAAAATATGCAGGTAGGTTTTTTGTATAGCGTAAATGAACATCAAGAAAGGGAATTAGGGGGTTCAAAGATTGTATTAAATTTCGTCAATTTTGAAGTTGGAAGTTGGGTTAATGAGAAAATATTGTAACTATTTGTTTGAAATGGTCTGTCATAAAACTTAATATAACAAACCAAATTCTCCGCAGGTGAAGCCACGGGCAACAACTAGTTAATTATATTTTTCAAAGAATATGTATATTGTTAATAAAAAAACGGTTTTGCATGGTAGTTCTTCAAAAAATTCTCCGTATATTAATTAGTATAACAACAGTACATTGTTTCAGAAGGAAATAATAATGATAGAGAGAAATCGTAGGTATATGAGTTATATTGAATTTAAGCATTCATTTCAAGAAAAGGTATATGCAACCAAAGATATATTTTTGGTGAATAGGAAAAGTAAAGATAGGTTCATTAGTTCCCACAGTCATAAAACTATCCAAGAATAATATTTATCGTTGTGAAGCAGAAAGTGATGTGGATTATTGAACTGTACTCATCTCTAGATCATAACTTCCATGATGTAGTTGTTATATCAGAGTACATTGTTCTGTTAGCGGTATTGATAGCTTTAGCACTCCATAATGAAAAACATTTTTTTAAACCACTGAAAATTATTGCATACAACAACAATCATGTTGATGAAGTATCTTTATATCACAACAAATCATCAACTACATTCGCTTTTTATAGTGAACAAAAAACTCATTGAAGTTTTCGATAATTTTTCAGAATACTACTGCATGGTAGAAGAACCAAGTGACGAAGTACTTTCTAATGAAGGTATTAATTGTATTATCATAATGTGATATGTCAAAACTGACAAAAACTTGCATTAGCATTATACCCTGTTTCCTAATGTTAAAAAAAAACTATAAATTCTGATTATAAATACAAAACGCTAACATCGTCATGATTTTCCACAGCTGATATGGGCGGGTGTTGAAAAAATGTCTGTTTAAAATCTGTTTTTCTGTTAACCAGCTGTCACACTCCTATGAACGGCAACTCCCAAAAGTTGAAACTTGTGCGAGCTGAGGAATAACGAGGTCTTCTCTTTTAAAGTGTGATTCCTATCACGAGTTGGACGATAGCTAGTGAAAATCGATCGTTCGGGCGTGTGAACCACCGGTTCACACAGCGATCGATTGAGTGAGTGGAGCAAACCACCCACGTCAAACCAACCGGCTACCGTCCTACCATATAATAGTTTACTGGGTCCTTTCTATTTTTGTATCCCAAACGGGTCGCAAACAAATTACTTTATGAGCGTATGGGTTGTTTTATACCAACAGTGGCGTGTATTTGGGTATCAAGCAAAAATACGTGTTGAAACTAGTAACTATGTTCATTCATTAATATACAGTCAATATTGTTATAACATTTCAATTGAAAATATTCACATAATGATGAATAGATATGTTTATTCAAGATTATATTAGGTAAAAGCAAAAATTATGGTGTGTTATCATAAGATAAGTCTGATGGATCTTCCTCGAATGTTATGATTGAAGCTTCTAAAATTTTCTTAACTGAATGTTCAATACGTTTTCGCCATTTTTTGGAATCGGCATTTTTGAAGACTTCTTAAAGTGTATTTTGACATATTTTATTTTTGATATCGTGTTCCTTCTTGCAACAGAACCCTTCACTTGGGCCCAAACGAGTTTAATGAGTTCGCAACGATAAGGGGGTCAAACGCAGAATTATATTTTTTTTCTGTGCCATCTTGTCGACTACATCTTTCGTGAAAGTGCTTCATTGGAACATACTATGGGCAATAGTTCTATTTCAACCATACGTTTTTTCGAAACCACTAATGATCCTCTTTCAGCTTTTCTGAAATGAGAATTCGCATTATCCATCACAATTACAGATATAAATACTAACATTTGCTCAAAATATCCTTCAACCACATCGCCATTCATGACTCTATGGTACTCGCCAGAATACTTTGGCTCAAATATCCACAAACCGCCCTCAACAAAACCATCAACACCAACCTTCTTGAATTGCTTGACGTGAATTTGTAGTGTTTCTGTCTTGCTACATCTTTCCAGTCCAGATAATAATTTTCTTACATTCTGACATCGAAACTCTTCATCTGCCTCAGGATACATTACCTAATCATGACGTCATCCTTTTTTCCAGCAACAATTGAAAATACCACAGGTATACCTGATTTAATCAGGTAAGCTCATGTGATACATTAAAAAGTGCTTTTCATAAATAGTATTGGAAATAT